TGTTATGTTATGTCTACGTTTCCTTTTTTAACCCCAAGATGGGAGATCCTAACTGAGCCCCTGGGGAGGGCAAAAGGGACTGTCAGGCTCTTACTGACTAAATCCCACTCCAGTGTCTCATCATATACGTGGGTACAAGGGTGGGGAAGTCACATTCTTCCGCAGCCTCCGAACTCGTGGCGGCTTGTCTACCTAACCCAACTAAAATTTAAAATCTGAAATATATGTTATCAGTCCTCAGCCATACAAAAAGATAGACATAAAATGTGTTTTTAAAAATTAAAATGGTTATTGAAATTACTTCGAACCGACTTTGTGATGAACTTCGCAAACTTCAAGGTCTTTTTCACCGACTTCACACAAAATCAGTATTAAAATTTAGATATTTGGAAAACTGTTGGCAAAGTTAGATTTTGTTAAAATATAATGTTGTATATAGATCTAAAATAATATTCAAATAAAGTTTGCTTTATGTTTGACCTTGTTTTAGTTTTACAAAAATAGGTTTTGTTAGTGGAATATTTTCAGTTATTTTGTATAAGTCAATACTGCGATCGTCTGTTAGGTTGAAAGTCTCTCGAAAAGGTTGAAAAAGTAACGCGATCAGTTAATTTATTAGGAAGCCTTACACCCAATTCATCATCAACAGCCTATAAATGCCCACTGCTGAGCAAAAGCCTCTTCTCACACGGAGAAGGTTTGAGCATTAATCACCACGCTTGCTCATTGCGGGTTGGCGATTTCAAACGCGAAATTATAAGTCCAGGGTTCCTAACGATGTTTTCCTTCACCGTTGGTCAGTGGTGTCTAAATAATCTTAGAAAGTACATATGACTCGGAAAAAGTCACATTGGTACTTGCCGTTGGTAGGTTTCGAACCCGCACCCTTATGCATGAGAAGCGGGCGTCTTAACCTCCGGGCCACCACGAAACCTAAATACTGAAAGGGTACTCAATTTTGAATTGTATTTAAATATCTTGCCATCGTGCACCATCAATGTGGACCTCTGCCTACCTCTTCGGGGATAAAAGGCGTGATGTTATGTTATGTTATCTTGTCATCGCAGTCATCTTACAAAGAGTTTGTAGTGACAGAATTGTACTTAAGCGCGACTTAAAACCTGACTGCCGCGCAACGAGTCACAGGTTCGATTCCGCACGGAGCAGCTCTTTGAGTGACCCACAAATTGTTGTTTCGGGTCTGGGTGTCATGTGTATGTGAACTGATATGTTTGTAAACGCACCCACGACACAGAAGAAAACACTAGTGTGGGGCAACGTTTAAAAAAAAGTTGTACTAGTGTCTATTGTGATTCATTTCATTTTTCTTTGACCATTACAGATATCCTTTTAGCAGCATGCAGAGAGCAAATCATATTACCTAAATAATTGTCATAATAAAATAAAAAAGAAAAAAAAAAAATAAACTAAATCGAAGTACTGGCCGAAGTTAATATTCGTCCTCCATTAAACTGTCAAACACCAAGCGGTCACCGGTGACCGCAACCTATTGTTCTATAATTGTGTCTACAAAACCGGTACTCGACGAGTTAAAAATATTTATATTTACATAGATTTTGTCATTAGTTCTATCGATGTTTGTACCTACAACTATAGGTCGAGGCAGAAATTTTTGATCGAGATCGATTTCAGCTTCAACCCAGCAGAAAAAAAAGCTACCAGAAAAAAAAATAGTTTTAAATTAACAATAAAACCTTCTTACCTATATATAGGAGTACCAAGATCCTCTCGGTACCACAGCACTAATAAGACGGCGTCATCTTCATCCTGTGTCGCGATGTCGCACGGCAGGTAGACAGGCTCGCCGGCCACGGCTACCACTTGCGTCATCGGTACTGTGGACAAGAATAATTAGATTAGGAATAATATTTATTTCAATTATAAAGAATTTGTATTGATGAGACAAGGTAAAGCAATTTTAGTGATATCAATATTTGGATAGGTAGCCATTAAACATTTTTTTTTAATCATATTGGACGTAGCACTAATACATTCAAATAAAAATTTAAAATCAGAATAACTAATTTACTAGCAGTAAAGAATTTATATTTTGTTTTAATAATTTTGAAATTCGAACATTGAAATAAAAAACAATGCAACAATAAATAATTATTAATTCTACTGCATTTACTTTGAAATGAATTTGCACTTTATAACGGAGACTTTAGTTTCTTTTTTGTTTAACTCATAACTATGACTTGTTTTAATGAGAATTCTTTACCAGAGATAAAATCTAGTCCATTTATACGAATGCCATAGTTAAACAAGATGGCGGACAAACTAAAAGAACTTTGTAGTCGTTGTAAAGAGTTCTTCGGCGAATACAGACTATTAAATTGTCGTTCGTCGTTGAACTAAAAATTTTAGAGTATCGTAAACTACAAACCTTGTAGTTTCTGTGTTGTCTTGTGTTTTTGAATTAAAATTAAATATTCATGACTTAAAATAGGTACTATTTTAATGGGGTAGTTTCTTAAATTGTATTTTAATGCCCGTCTGGTAGTTTAATTTAAAATATTAGACACGTATTTTTTCTTTTCTCACAAAATTAAATACTTTCGACGATAATTATATTAATTTGAAATACCGTATGACTCCTTTTCCTAAATTTAACGCCATTTTATCTAAGTATTATAACTTTATACGAGAAAACAAAATACGTGTCTAATATTTTTTCATTATCTAACTGACGGACTAATTAATAAGATTTTTAATTTTCTTACCCTCACACTTAGCATATTACTAAATCCTAAAGACCTGAACATTATAAAATTGCGTGACGGTTACTGAAATATCACGCGATATTGCCCTTATTATTTATTAACGTTTATTGCCCGAATCAGTAATTGGGCAATAAGCATCAAACAAGGTCATCAAATAACTATCAGATGTATTATTGTCTATTGTACGCACGGCTACACATCGAGCTTTACATAACCAGTATAAACTGAACGTTAAATGTGCGGAAAGATGATGCGACGCGACACCAGGATAAACTGGTTTTGTATAGATTGATGTGTGGCCGCGTGTACTTCATTTCATTTTTTTTTAAATCGAAGATGTCTGTTTGTTTTCCACAACCCATTACAGATATTCTTTTAGGAGCTTGCAGAGAGCAAATCCTTTTACCTAACTAATATATAATTTAAATTATAATTCTATCTTATTATAATTTTAATTTTGTTTTTTTGTAATTTTAATTTACT